TAATTCTTGGTGAAACAGTGCACTGACACAGTTTACAATATGCTGCCTCTGATCCGTCTGAAGATCTTTTGAGCCATCAGTATGTTTTCTCCCAATTACTATTATACTTGCGATTGCTGTCATAGGATGCTTTCCATTTGGGGGGGGGGGGGGGGATGACGTGACCATTGGTAAAGGTAATAAAATCTATCACAGATAGAACTAGACCTATATCCTATCTATTTTCTGTCCTCAAGTAGTTTCTGAACAGTCTGAATCACTTGATATCAGTGGTGGGTTTTCGTTTTATATCTCGCATTTATTCTAGTAAATTAACATAAATTACAGAGGCTTATAGCAATCACGATCCGATTAGGAAGAAAACAAAACAATAAGAAATAGCGCGAATCTCCGTTAGTACGTACCAGGGCATCACAACAAAGTCAAACTGAAATAAAGATTTTAGCTGTAGGTCTACATTGCTTTTAGTAAAGTTGCGTGTTTTTAACAGAGGAACCATGAAGAAAATGTTTGCAGATCTTGATAAAAGATGCCAGGAAAAACCAAAATATGCCAGAATATGCCAGTTTATTATCTTATACCAGTTTAGTTTCAAATATGCTAGATTTGTGGAATCTGGCATAAAAAATGCCAATATGGCAACCCTGAGACCAGTCCAAAAAAGTTATCACTGGAATGTGACCTACTTTGCTTGGGGAAACAAATGTCGAATTAATTGACGTTGTATTTTGTCATGCTAAACGTCATAAAAGGGGAAGGGGTCGGTGAAGCTGTGATGGCGTGAAAGCGGAGCTCGGACGGTAAATACAAGACATTGAAGAAGTTTAACCTGTGGAAAACTGGCTAGAGAGAGAGAGAGAGAGAGAGAAAGATAGAGAGCGAGAGAGAGAGAGAGAGAGAGAGAGAGAGAGAGAGAGAGAGAGAGAGAGAGAGAGAGAGAGAGAGAGAGAGAGAAAGGGAGAGAGAGATAAAAAAGAGAGAGAGAGAGAGAGATACTTTCAAGCGTGCAGTTACAAGAGTAACCCTTTAAAAAAAGAAACGACTCCTAGATCAATGCTATGGAGCATCAGCGGTAACAGATCCAGAGGTCGACCACTCAGAACATGGACTGCAGAAATATCGAAGATACTGAAAAGTACTATACACGAAGCGAAAAGAAGAGCGGGTTTCAACGATCTCTTCCTGCCCTGACACTGCTAGGCATTATAGGAGCAGAGAAAAGAAGAAGAAGAAGAAGAAGAAGAAGAAGAAGAAGAAGAAGAAGAAGAAGAAGAAGAAGAAGAAGAAGAAGAAGAAGAAGAAGAAGAAGAAGAAGAAGAAAAAAGAAGAAAAAAAGAAGAAGAAGAAGAAGAAGAAGAAGAAGAAGAAGAAGAAGAAGAAGAAGAAGAAGAAGAAGAAGAAGAAGAAGAAGAAGAAGAAGAAGAAGAAGAAGAAGAGAAGAAGAAGAAGAAGAAGAAGAAGAAGAAGAAGAAGAAGAAGAAGAAGAAGAAGAAATAGAAGAAGAGGAAGAAGTAGAAGAAGTAGAAGTAGAAGAAGTAGAAGAAGTAGAAGTAGAAGAAGAAGAAGAAGAAGAAGAAGAAGAAGAAGAAGAAGAAGAAGAAGAAGAAGAAGAAGAAGAAGAAGAAGAAGAAGAAGAAGAAGAAGAAGAAGAAGAAGAAGAAGAAGAAGAAGAAGAAGAAGAAGAAAGAAAGAAAGAAAGAAAGAAAGAAGAAAACGAAGAACAAGTAGAAGAAGAAAAAGAATAGACTCCCGGCTCACTCTTCCCTCCCCCCTACCCCACCCCCACCAACAGCAAATATCCAAGCTGAGCTGTGAACTACAACCTAAAGTGCCGACTAAGGGTGGAAGAAGAATTTTCACGAGAATAAATTACGTAGAGTGATTTGTGCATGCAGCCTGTGTTGCCAACTTGTGGCTAACGCTCGCATTGAAGGTAAAGACAGCTAGCGTGATATTGATACATAACCCACCGGGAATTGTATGACCTGGGAGTAAAGCAAGGTAAAGCACGTCTATGGCGCCATTGAGACAGAAGACCTTATAACAAACTCCTCTGGAGACAATCAGTAGAGGTACTTTAGGGTCACTGCTGATTTGGAGGACAAGCCTCACAATGCCAAACGCGCAGAGACATTGCCGGTGATAACATGGCATAACATAATATAACATACCCAGAAAACCGACATCCTGAGCCAGGCATTCTTTAGAAAAGACTTTGGCTCCCATGTGAACTAAGTCTCGAGTGGGTACCAGATCCAGTCCTTGAAAGTAAAGACGGCCGGCATGCTGCTGATCTCATCACTTGTCGAGTACCGATTGGACTAATAAAACACAGGTCTAACTCTACATGTAGGATACATGACTGACTGACTGACTTTCTACCCCACCAGGACATCACACAAGCGATAAACACCCGATGACACAAAGTGCCACCATGTGGATGAGGATCACCGTGGACAGGTCCCAGAAACCGCGTTCAGACAATTGGCCACATTTATGACCTGCCTATATTGCGGTCCCTGGCAAAAGCCAGGGTGGGGCTTCAAAAAACGAAAAATTTCGTCCTAAAAAGGACGAAACATTTATTGCTTGGTAGCAAGATATAATATGTAGGATACATCTGAAGGCGTGGAAAATGGTCGTTTGCTTATACACCCACCGATAGCCGATTGGTCAACAAAAAACGACGATGATTTCTACTGGTTGATTTATGCTTGCAGATCAGGATGAAAACTGGTGGATGACGCTTGAAGCCGTCAATTCAGCTGGACAGGTTGTGTTTACCTACATCGCCACGGAGGTCGCTCTAATCTACAACGTCGTAGGCAGGGTCCAGAATGTCTCTGGTGTCAACATCACCAGTCGCAACGGCGGTCTGGAACTATGTGAGGTCGAGGTTTATGGAGGTAGCCTTGCATCTACGCTATCTGTATAACATGGAACGGTTCTTTTCTTCTACTTAACCCAATTTCAGAGATCTCAGGGACTCTAGAGATTTCCTGGGGAGTTCCGAGGAAAGTCTTGTATTAATTCGGGGTTTCGAGGGTTAGTGTCAGTCGGTGTTCATTTCACAACTTCAGACTCCTCTACTATTAGACGTTATAGGAAACTCCCAAAGAAATCTCGTAGTATCCGAGATGGGGTCATATAAAAGAACCTAACGGGCTTCTGTAAGTCTTCTACATGTTCTTCAGTATCCTCTTCTTTGTATACTTCTGTATGTCTTTTGTTGTTGATATTGCAGCTATCGTTTATTCTGCTGCTGTTGTTGTTATTGCTGTTTATTCTTCTTTTTCTTTAATTTCTTCTTCTTCTTGTTCATCTTTTTCTTCTTCTTCTACTTCTTCTTCTTCTTCCTCTTCTCCTTCAATATCATCTGCTTTCTTTTCTGATAAGGATCGAAAAAGAAAGGAAGAAGAGGAATAGAAAGAGAAGACGCAAAAGAAGAAGGAGAAGAAGAACGTGAAGAAAAAGAAGAAGAAGAAGAAGAAGAAGAAGAAGAAGAAGAAGAAGAAGAAGAAGAAGAAGAAGAAGAAGAAGAAGAAGAAGAAGAAGAAGAAGAAGAAGAAGAAGAAGAAGAAGAAGAAGAAGAAAAAGAAGACGAAGAAGAAGACGAAGAAGACGAAGAAGAAGACGAAGAAGAAGAAGAAGAAGAAGAAGAAGAAGAAGAAGAAGAAGAAGAAGAAGAAGAAGAAGAAGAAGAAGAAGAAGAAGAAGAAGAAGAAGAAGAAGAAGAAGAAGAAGAAGAAGAAGAAGAAGAAGAAGAAGAAGAAGAAGAAGAAGAAGAAGAAGAAGAAGAAGAAGAAGAAAAAGAAAAAGAAGAATGAAAAAGAGGGCCAAGAAGAAGAAGAAGAAGAAGAAGAGAAATATGATCCACTACCGCCTGAGAAAGCGTGCCGAAAGAGTTAACTAACTGGGTTCTTCCTTTGAAGTCGAAGTGCATTTGTTTGTGAGGCAAAGAACAAACAGTCTGCGTGCAAAGAAGACTGACCTGCTTGTTGGATGTGCACGCAACACTCAGCTTCTGAAATAACAATACTGTCTTTAACCTTCCGCTGAAGTTCACCGCCGGTGAATGTGAGGATGAAAATAAAATAAAAAACAATTAAAAACCTGTGAAGAACCCTTTCCCACGCCTTTAGGCCTTTGGACCTATATTTTTATAGACCACCGGCACAAGATGCCTCTTCTTTCCCGGGACTGCACCTGGTACACACTCAAGGCTGGGTCGACCTGGGAGCCAAGGTCATTTTGAAAGATGTCTGGCTCTGCCAGTGAGCGAACCCACGACCTTCCGAACGTCTAGCCGTTTTGCCACGGCGACTCCCGATAAAAGAAATGCGTATCATATAATGTCATGGAAGAAAAGATGACGGGCTTGACGTTGATTTTAGTCCAAATGAGTGAAAAGCATCCACTCTTGTATTTTATTTTGTTGTATTGAAAAGTTCAGTCTTTGGAGGCCTAGGTGGTTGAATCACACCTGAAAAATGGAGGCCAGTAGATCCTCTAAGGAAATTCTCTATAGTGGGTTACAGATGGGTAAAGATGACGAGGCCGACTGCTACAATGATTTAAAGATGCGTGCAGGTGGGACATGAATGATACAGCTTTGAGAAGGATTCCCGAGAACACAATGTTATGGACCGTACTGTGTGAAAAGGGAAAAAAAAAAAGGGGGGGGGGGCACCAGAAAGAGAATGAGAATGCAGGATGGAATTAATGCAGAAATGTGGAGAACTGAGCGTCTAAGAAGAATCATACTAAATACAAATCATTGCAAAAACGATCACTTGATCCCATGCTATATTTGTGGAGGACTTGCTGGAGATTCTTGCTGGTTATACATGCCATCGCTGTGGGATGTGAGTTCCGTGCCTTATCATAGCACAATATAACACTATCGTCTGGAAAGACGGAAAAGTGCCAACATATTACAATAAAAGTAAAGAAAATGCTTGTCAGTTCATGTTTCTAGTCCACTTCTTGCAGATAGCCAGTGTAAGGTGGGATATTTTGGCCGGGATTGCGAGCAGAAATGTAACTGTGCCTGGGACCAGCCTTGTCCACCTAGTACTGGATTCTGTCAAAGTGGATGTGCCCCGGGATATCGTGGCCTCTCGTGCAATTTACGTACGTAGATCATCGGTGTTGTTGTTCGCCCCATCACAGAGGATGAGGGCCACTTTACCTTTCATTTATCCAGAAAACTGTGGTTTTGTGAGTTCGGGGAGTGACTTATAAGCCCAGTGCGGGCCAGGAAGGTTCTATGTCAATTAGGGCATTAAACAGTGTCAATGGGTAAATATCTGTAGTTTTAATAACACGCATTGATGGGCATTGAAGCAGATGTATAAATGTGTATATTTAAAAAATATTTAAATGAATAAATGAATGAATAAATGCATAAATAAAAGGATAAATGAATAAATGAAACAAGAATATATATATATATATATATATATATATATATATATATATATATATATATATATATATATTACCGAATTACAGACATAAATACCTTTGTAAGGGTTGTATGATTTCTATAACCATAAGTGTCCTTCGATGTCTTGGTAAATTTTCTACACACATTAACACCAGTGTATGTGGGGCATATTTTCTATGTGCATGACAACTCGTGTATGTGTTTATATGTGACGTGAAATATATAACTAGTGATACAGTGGACAATATAGTGGACAATACAGTGGACCAAATATTGGATAATATAGTGGACGATGACCTATCCAATACAGTAGACAATAACGCGAACAATATAGATGATAAGAGCGTGTACGATATAGTGGACGATATAGTAGACGATATAGTGTCCAATACAGTGGGCAGTGCTGTGAAAAATATATATAGATGAGCTGCTGCTATTCTCATTCTCCTGCCGACTTTATTATTCCCGATCTTATCTCTTAATGTTATATTGAGAGCCGTTCGTAGAAACCTCATTTCAGTCATTTAAGTTTTTCTTTTCTCTTTCTCCGGGATTGTACAGTTCTGTCATTGGAAGCAAATAGCTGGCATAAAGACTGTCATATAGTGATGTTTCTATTCTCACATTTTCGTAACTTAGTAATGGTTCCTTGTGTATAATGAGTTAATTTGCTCGGTTACATTTGCCATCGATCTAATTCTGTTTTTTTACCGGCTGATGAGATAATGCTTCCCAAGTATTTGAACTTTTTAGTTTATTTCATATTTTTTTCTGAAAGTTAAATATTTATTGTTTTGTTTTGTCCACTTTGGCTGTGGTCATGATATTGTTTTAATGGCTTTAATTTTCATGCGCAAATTTGGTTTAAATCATTTATTTAGTTTTGCAGTTCTTTTTTTTTTTTTTTTTCTCTAAAGTAGCAATTAGTGCTTGGTCGTCCGCAAATAGTACTTCTTTGATAAAATTGTTTGGCGTTGGTTTTCTTCTATTTGATGTATTATAGTACTTGTGAGGTTTTTTTTTTTTTTTACAGATGTTATCAATTTAAGCTACGAAGAGCATGAAAGATAGTACACAGCCCTAGCGCACCCCAGATTTTATGGTGAATTGTTCAGTGTCATCAAGTTGTTCTAACAATACATTCACTATTGTTAAACAAGCTTTCACGAATGTTTATTAGATATGGGTTTACAGCATGACTTTCAACTATTGCCTATAGTTTGTTCCTATCTACTCTGTCAAATAGTAGGAACAAACTATTGCGGGGGAGGGGGGGGGGAAGAATCAATGTGGATATAACAGTTGACTATATCATGGGGACTGTAAAAGACAATGATATAGATGATAAGATGGATAATCACGGCTATGACGTAGACGATGAGATGCACACTAATGTTTTACATCTTGGTCCCAGTGACGCAATATTATGCCTTGTCTGAACAGAGTGCGAACCACAGAACTATGGCCAGGACTGTGAAGGCAACTGCAGCCAGAACTGTTTCACGGGGAAACCTTTGAATAGGTTCTGTGATTTCATTACTGGTCACTGCTTTCTGGGGTGTGTGGTGGGGTTTGAGCCTCCTACATGCGAAAAAGGTAAGTCTTGTGGTGAGACAGTTCTACCTTGTGGTTTCTAGGGCCCCACTGTAAAGAAAGACAAGAATAGTTCCACATCTTCTCAAACAAGCATGTTGTAGGTGTCAGAGTACATCTGCTTGAGACACAAGGAACCAATAATCTGCATACAAATAAGCAGTCAAAGCCAATATTTAAAAATCACAGGCATTGTCTATTTTCATTTACGAATGTGAGAGTTGGACTCTTACTGTGGAAATGGAAAGGCGGATGCAGGCTTTCGAATGTAAATGCTGTATGCGCATTTTGCGAAATATTTGTTTAGAAGATAAAACTAATAATTATTTCAGAGACACAATATGCAAATTTGCAGGACATCAGGGGCGTCTCTTGGCAGTGTTTTGACGTGGCAAGCTCCCTTGGTTTTTGCACGTGGTGAGACATGGTCCAATTGCAACGACTGTGCTTTAAGAAACAGTAAGAAGCGGGAGGGGTTTGGGGGGAGGGGGGTGTTGGAAGAAGAGGAGGGCAAAGAATAACCTGAAATTTCAACATCAGCAAATGGACTGGGCTAAGTTATTATATGTTTAGTTATCGATCAAGCGGAAAACAGAGATAGATGTCGGGTTTTATTTGCTAGTGCTTTCATCAATACATCTCCATGACCCCAACGGGTCAATGATTATGTTAGGTATAGAGAGCCAGATCTGTTAAACTGACGCGAACACAACACTCATCTTCTGGAATAAGAGTAAATCTTGAAGTGGACGAACAACCCGTTCTTTCATCTAGAGTATACAACCAGTGAACGTGAAGAAGAAGGGGCCGACGACCATGGGACAGTTGCATCTTATTTTGACTTACGTGGTCTCTACACGTTTAAAAAAATTAATAAACAGTGATGTATTGGCTAGACTCTCAACTACCAGCCCGAAGCTCTTCGGTTCGAGTTCTCATCAAGTTGAAATATTTTATTTTTCACTTACCAAGAGCCGATTGGTCCCTCTACCGAATAGAGGGAATTAAATAGTATGGTAAATGAATGATGTAGAGCTTTTAACCCACTATTTTGAATTCATCAAATGGAATGTGTATCTGGAACTATGCATCTAGCATAGAAAATTCAAGATCTTTAATAGACAAACAAAGAAAACGAAAAATGATCGCAATATTGATCCACTTTATATTGCTCTAAACATACATGAGTGTGACATCATGTATACCGATGTGTCGATAGTAGGAAAAGGGTTCTTTTCGGTTTTTGTAAGTCTGTATAATATTCACTGATGTTTGTTTCTCTTGTACAACATTTGCGTCTCCCTTTTTTTCACTGTCTGCGATTTTCTTCTTCATTTGCATTGTAAAATTGTAGATGATTTTTTATAAAGAGCATAATTTACACTTGTGTGGCTATTTATCTTCTCATCATCAAATCAGCATCCCTTCACACTGTGGTGTTGGGTCACCAATCATTGTCGTCTGTCCGATCAGCTCCCTCCAACGTTGACGGTCAGTTTAACTGGACTGCTTGTTGCCTCTTCTCCTTTTGCCCTCTAATGATTCCGGTTGTTTTAGAGAGACTGTTTTATCTTTTTACATGTATATACTACAGCCTTGTCCTTCTTTTCACTGTAGCTAAAGGAAGTTTACTGCTACCAATGTGCAGGATAATTAAACGGTGACACTGGCATTTGCAACAGGGTCTCAACAGGATATGTCAAGGACATTTCTGAACGATTACATTTCGTTTGCTTGTATCTGCTTTTCGAGTTTAGCAGTGAAGGTCCACGTTTCAGAGACTTATGTAAGTGTACTACTAGCCAGTGCTCCTAGCAGTCGAAGCTTAGTTTTACATTAATTGTTTTAAGTTCGCCATAATGATCAACTACATGATACATATATTTCTGGGGGTGTTTTTGTGGTGTAAAAGTACTTTTATATTTTCTATTGTTGACTTTCTTTGTGCCATTTAGTAAGTTATCATTCATTTTACTGGATCTTCAATGAACTCACGTGCGCATTTTAAATATTACTGCTGATAATAAAGACTGTTTTTTTTTTTTTACGTGTCTAGTGTGTCCTGCGAAAACTCACGGCCAAGACTGTGCACTTCAGTGTAGTCCAGCCTGCATCATAATTAATGATGATTTCACCACCTACTGCAACGCCTCCACTGGTTCATGTGTCTATGGCTGTACGAGTGGATATGTTGGAAAGAACTGTTCTACAAGTAGGTAAAGACACTAAGGTGTCACCGACACGGAGGTCAGGTCATTATGTCTGAACGAAAGGGTTCCCATGGAACCGTCTTATCTGCTTTACAGGACTGTATCGGTCCAGTGGGCTTTAATATTTAGGACTGCCTAATCTGAAGCAAATTCAAGCTATGTCCCTTGCCCTATCTACCTATCCCTGTCAACCTATCCCACATTTTTAGACCATGTCATAAGAAAAAGTAAATGACCCTTTTCCACGCCTTTAGGCGTATAGGGCATATAAGGCTAGACCTTTATTTTTATAGACCAATCGGCACAAGATGGGTGATGTGGTCAGCATCACGCCGGCCGCCTCTACTTCCCGGGACTGCACCCGGTACCCACTCAAGACTTGGTCGACCTAGGAGCCAAGATCATTGTGAAAAAAACGTCTGGCTCCGCCAGAGAACGAACTCACGACCTTCCAATCCAAGGCGAGCGTCTAGCCGCTCCGCCACGGGGACTCCCAGGCCAGACATACCCACTATATATATGTATATGTATATATATATATATATATATATATATATATATATATATATATATATATATATATATGTATAAATATATGTAAATATATGTATATATATAGATACACACACACACACACATATATATATATATATATATATATATATATATATATATATATATATATATATATGTGTGTGTGTGTGTGCAGTGATCATCCTGGGTGTGGGTTGGGACCATTGCGTTTCCCAGGAACTTGAGTCGTCCTAGTGTCCTGCATGCACAGAACTGTCCACACACCAAGTCTATGAAATACGTGCGCATTATTATTGGGTAGTTTGAAACATATACATTCTCTGTGGGCAATTTCGTTGTCTAGGTTTTATTTAGTCACTTGTAATATTTACATATCACTACTAAACTGTCCGTTTTTCATCATCACCATGTGCCCTGCTAACTGGCTTAGGCGTTTTCACAGATCTCGATCGCTAGTTGCCTGGAATTGCTCTCATGATGATATCCCTCCATGCCATCGTTTCAGCCATCCAGCATCATATCTCTTGGTCTGCCCTTACCCTTTTGTAATGATAATCTTTCCAGTTGTCACGATGTTCTCCAATGTCTCTATTCTCATTATATGGCCAAAGAACAGTGTTTGTCTCTTTCTGATTGTTGCATATATAGATCTACTGTCATTAGCTTCTTTGAAGCAATCGTTGTAAGTTACTCTGGCCATCCAAGGTATTCGTAACACTCGTCTCAGGAACTAAATCTCTGTGGTTTCGCAACTTCCAAGTCCAGGATAACGTTCCTTGTCATGAATTACACATTAATAATGGCATTCGACATTTCTCCGACTTCGTGCTAGCATGCTCGGTTCTGCTGCCCAGGGATTCGTCAACAGGAAGTCCATTTATTCATAAGTATTCAGTGTGTTACTCTGCCACAACGAATGGTTAGATTTAATACTATATCTGTAATCTCCCTTCTCTCTAGGAAGTTTACCTAACTTCTTTTAGCTATTCTCAATAAACATGATTGCACAGTACTCACAAACGTATCATTTTCTCTTGTCAGTTCTTCAGGCCTATGCGATTTCATTGTCAATGCACATTCAATGTCTTGTATTCACATTTCAGGAGGGCTGCAACTGCATCGTTTTTCCGAAAACAGCTTTCTTTCACCGCTTTTTCTAGGCTACCATTACGTTTAGAATGGCCCAAAAAACTCAGCTTTTGGGTTATAATGCTCAATGATCATGATCAATGTAGATGTTTTTTCTTCCGGTTAGACTTTCTAGGCATATAGAATGTTCTTGTCTCTACTTTCTTTCTATAACCACATAATTGATCACCTCAACCTTCAGCTGTATTTTATATTGTATACAATATAAAATACAGCTGAAGGTTGATGTGCTCAATTATGTAGGTAACCCTGCTCTGTGATGCTATAATAATAAGAAGAACTCTACATGGGAGCATACACAACAGGGGTCCAACGATCATCAGTAGAAAGGTCCCACGTCGACGGTTGTTTCGGCCCATTATCTCCCTAGATAATCTCTAGGCCCACTCGTTTATGACGCCAGACCTAGGACATCCCCTGCTGCCCTTTATCGGATTTACGGACAGGACAAAATTGTGAATTTGCAACAGGTGTAATGAGGTTTGACGTTTTATACACACACACACACACACACAAACACACACACACACACACACACACATATATATATATATATATATATATATATATATATATATATATATATAAGACGTGGAGTCGTACACCTATTTGGGCAGTAATGTAGATAAAGATGGAGGAACTGATAGAGATATTAAAATAAGAATACAAAAGGCAAGAGGGGCTTTCATAGCACTAGGGAATTTGTGGAGGTCAAAAGAAATTAAAAGAAATACTAAACTAAAAATTTTTAATTCTAATGTCAAATCAGTACTATTGTATGGGGCGGAAACATGGAGAACAACCAAGGCAATTACTAATAAATTACAGACATTCATTAACTGGTGCCTGCGCAGAATAGAGGGAATAAAATGGTATGATAGAATAACTAATGTAGAACTTTGGGAGAGAACTAAACAGGCTCCAGTGGATCAGGAGGTGAGGAAAAGTCGCTGGCGTTGGATATGGCACACACTGAGAAAACAGGAGAACAGCATAACTAGAATGTCTTTGCATTGGAACCCACAGGGGCATAGGAACCAAGGAAGGCCAAAAAACACATGGAGAAGAGAACTGGAGAATGAGGTTAGAAAGATTGGGAAGACAAGGGGAGAGCTCCATGTAATGGCGAAGGATAGAACGACTTGGCGTGAGTTGGTTAAGGGCCTATGCTCCATTGGGGGATAGAAAGGCAGAAGAAGATATATATATATATGTATATATATATATATATATATATATATATATATATATATATATATATATATATTATAATATATGCTATAGTACATCGGGTAGGGTAAGCTGATATCATCTGGTCATATGGAAACCGAATTTAAAGCAAGGGCACGAGTTTCAAACATACATATTGTACAGAACGGTTAGATAGTGTCCACCAAAAAGTTATATAATCCTTGTCTTGTCCGTGACTATAAAAACTGGGCTGGGAGTCCGGGTAGACTTAGTCAAGTAACTGATACCAAGAAAAATTGTAGGAAGTAAAAGCCATCCGCGTGATTTTGACATATTCACTCACATGATCTTACTTGTCTAAAAGCATATGGGAG